TCCTTCCTTCCTTCCTTCCTTCCTTCCTTCCTTCCTTCCTTCCTTCCTTCCTTCCTTCCTCCCCTTCCTCCCCTTCCTTCCCTCCTTCTCTTTCTTTTCTTTCTTTCTTTCTCTCTCTCTCTTTCTTTCTTTTTCTTTCCGACGGAGTCTCACTCTGTTGCCCGCGATTGAGTGCAAATGCTGTGATCTCGGCTCACTGCAAACTCGGCCTCCCCACAAACCCCGCCTCCCCGGCTCAAGAGATCCTTCCACCTCCGCCTCCTGAGTAGTTGGGGCCACAGGCGTGTGCCACCATGCAGGCTAATTTTTTATATTTTTAGTAGAGATAGGGTTTTGCCTTGCTGCTCAGGCTGGTCTCGAACTCCTGAGCTCAAGCAATTTGCTGGCCAGCCTCCCAAAGTGCTGAGATTACAGGAATGAGTCATTGCGCCCAGCCAATAGTTTTCTTTTTCTTTTTAATTTTTTTATAGAACAAATTTTATTTTAAAAATAGAGTCAAGGTCTTGCTATGTTGCCCAGGCTGATGTTGAATTCCTGGGCTCAAGCAATCCTCCCATCTTGGCCTCCCAATGCTGGATTACAGACATGAGCCACCAGTAGTTTTCTCTAAATCAACAGAATAATAAATTTGGTCATGCTTCCAGCCCACCCACAAGTAGACACAGCTTAGCTTAGTCTCTTCATAGACTAGACTCCTAATAAGAAAAATGCAAAGATGAGGCATTCCTCCGCTTGCTTTCTGAGGACACCCTATCCTGAATTTGAGTAGCCTTCAATAAATCTTCCCTCCCCACTGAACCCTGCGACTCGCCTGGAATTCCCTCCTGCGTGAGAGAGATCTAAGAACTCTCTCTTAGGGTCTGGATTGGGACCCCTTTTTTTTGGCAACACAAGGACATGCCAATTGTAACTTGAGGTCTGCAAACTAAGTCTAGCTCCTAAATGGTTGTTGTTGTTGTTTTGTTTTTGGTTTTTTGTTTTTTTCTTTGAGACTAACTCTCACTCTGTCGCCCAGGCTGGAGTGCAGTGATGCGATCTGGGCTCACTGCAACCTCTGCCCCCCGGGTTCATGCGATTCTCCTGACTCAGCCTTCCAAGTAGCTGGGATTACAGGTGTATGCCACCATGCCTGGCTAATTTTTTTTTTTTTTTTTTTTTTAAGAAGGAATTTCATTCTTGTTACCCAGGCTGGAGTGCAATGGCGAGATCTCAGCTCACTGCAACCTCCACCTCCCAGGTTCAAGCAATTATCCTGTCTGAGCCTCTTGAGTAGCTGGGACAAGCATGCGCCACCACACCTGGCTAATTTTTGTATTTTTGGTAGAAACAGGGTTTCACCATATTGGTCAGGCTGGTCTCGAACTGCTGACCTTAGGTCATCCACCTGCCTTGACCTCCCAAAGTGCTGGAATTACAGGCATAAGTCATCACACCTGGCGTTAATTTTTGTATTTTTAGTAGAGATGGAGTTTCACCATGCTGTCCAGGCTGGTCTCGAATTCCTGACCTCAAGTGATCTGCCCGCCTTGGCCTCCCAAAGTGCTGGGATGACAGGCATGAGCCACCGCGCCCAGCCTAGTTCCTAAAATTAAAGTCTGTTTGATTCCATGCTGACCTAATGTTGATCGCAAGCTTAGATCGGAGTGCAGGTGTAGAATAAAGACAAGACTCATTCCTCTACCTACCCAGAGACATCTGCATACTTGACTCTTCCTTTACTCTCTTTTTCTTTTCAAACATCCAATTTGTCTTATGTAAAATGTAGATGTACCAGGCAGTAGCTAGAGCTCGCAGGAATGTAGCCATTTGCCTTACCACCTATCTGCCCTTTTTCCTAAATGCCTTTCCCCATTTAAGGAAATGTGTAAATACTAAATCCCCTGAAACTCTCTTGAGAAAAACAGCCACAGACGTACCTGTGGCTTGTATTTTTCCTGAAGCACCCTAAAGCTGACTTAATAAACCTCGATGACTGGGATTTATGCCTCAGTCATTCTATTCAGATGTCAGAGGGACCCATGGGAAGAAGCAGAGAGAAAGGTCTGTAGGAAGAGGCTAAGGAGCCCAATCTTCTCCCAGAAAATCAACACTTCGGGTGGTCATGAATTGCAGGGCTACTGGGACTGGGGTGAGTAAAGAGGAAGAGAGAGAGAGAGCAAAGCCCCAAGTAGAAGGGGAAACAGGGAGGGAGGAAGGGGCTATGCCCTGTCCTCCCCTCCTCCAGTGTCCCTGCCCTTCCCTGACCTCAGAATTCCCATTGCTCCTTGAGAACTCAGACACTAGCTTCCCCACCAAGGCCTCTGGGGTTTCTGTGACTGACATTCATTTCCTCCTCCCTCTGTATTCCCCCAGCCTGTCCATTCTCGGCTACACTGACTCTGAGTCTGGTCAACTGCTTGTATACAACCTATCTCACCCAGTTAACTTAAATTCCTTGGGGTCAGGAACAATGCGTTCTTATTTTCTATGCCACAGCTCCAGTTACTGTGACTGACACACAGAAATATTGGTTTGGAGTCGATTATCTCAGGGATGCAGCTCAAAGTAAATGTGTCTTTTATAGAGTGGGCACAGGAATGCTTTAATGGGGAACGAGCAAGTCCCAAGAGGAGCAAGGAAAACTTGAGCTGCAACCACTTTGCATTTCCGATGATGAATTAGAGCGGTTGTTATCAAATCTGCCACCAGAGGGCGATCCAGGTAAAAAGATCTTCGGGGTACTCTTCAGTCCGGTGACCTGATCTTCCCCCAAAATCAGATCCTTGCTGCCTCCCAGAAACAGCAGACACCTAAATCCAATGTAGCTTGCCAGGATCTCAGGGAATGAACTTTTATAGTTTGCCAGCGTTTTCCCCAGAGGAGCAGAGGCAAGAAAACAATCAAATCGATGGTCTGCTGTTTGCTGGATGAAGAATAAAACTGCCTAAAGGCAATGTGTTTAGTACAAAGGTGTCATAAGCTCTGCTTTACCAATTTCTGGAAGTGTGACATTAAGGCAACCATTCTCTTCTCTGGGCCTGGTTTTCCTCTATAAAATGTCAGTTCAAGTTCCAGCCTGTCTTGGGATGTCATCAGCCTTTACAACCTACCTGGGCCGTGGCCCTGCGATTAACTGCACAGTGAAGCTTACTTAGTTCCCCCGCTTTTCTGCCTGTCTTAGGGAACAGTCATGGAAACCAGCACTTGCTGCCGTGGGAACTGGACATTCCCCGTATTCTTTCCCAGACCAAACAGGCATAGCTAGAAGAGTGAGACATGCGGAAAAATGATAGAAGCCCAGGGCATTGTTCAGCAGTGAGCCTAAAATCTGTACATACAATAGCATAATATTCATGCAAATTCTTGCAAAATGCAAAGCTGATGGCATATGACTTATGACTCATTCTTGTATATAACAGTAGAACAACATGCAGCTGAAGAAAGCACTACTCAGGATGGGAGTAGCCTTGGGAGGGAGGCAAGGAGTAGTGAGGAGGGAGAGAATGAGCTGTTTCTGTAACATTTCATTTCATAAGAGAGATGGATGGACTTCAAGCCTCTATGGCAAAATGTCACCTCAGATAAATCTGATTGGTTCCATATTATTTTCTGTAACCCTCTCTATGTTTGACTCATTCTTTCAATTAAAAAGAAAAAAAAATATTTAAAGTAATTTTTTTAAAAAACAGAGCTCACCAGCCCCTTAGAGCACAGCTTGGTCTAGGGTAGTTTCTTTAACTAGCAGAGCTTTCTGTAAATACAGACAAGTGTTCACAAAGCATCTTTAGGTTTCCCAGGTCCAGGATGGGTGGGATAATACTAAGGGAGGGAGATCTGCTCTTGGAGGAGGGACCTGCTCTAACCAACCCTGTAGCTCTGCAAATCTTTGGCATTTTGTCCTTATCTGTAAATAGGGATGAAGTTTGTCCCATTTATATCACTCAGTTATAATGTGCATCAGAGATGATATTTGTGAAAACAACTTGAAAATACAAAATGATGTAAACAGGTATTATTTAGTTGTCAAGCTCTAAGTCCTGAGGCCTCATTTATATTAACGGTAGTAATAACAATAACAATACAGGCTGGGCGCGGTGGCTCACACCTGTAATCCCAGCACTTTGTGCGGATCACGAGGTCAGGAGTTTGAGACCAGCCTGGACAATATGGTGAAACCCTGTCTCTTCTAAAAATACAAAAATTAGCTGGACGTGGTGGTGTGCACCTGTAGTCCCAGCTACTCGGGATGCTGAGGCAGAAGAATCACTTGAACTCGGGAGGTGGAGATTGCAGTGAGCTGAGATCTCACCACTGCACTGCAGTCTGGGTGATAGAGCGAGCCTCTGTCTCAAAAACAAATAAACAAACAAAAACAAACAAGCAAAAAACCAATACAATGACAAAGGAAGAAATAAAAGGAGGATGTGTAACATGGTAAGGAGGGAAGGAAAAATGAAGAAAGAAGAAAAACCTATTGAAGATAGTCAAGAAAACAGCTGCCCTTCGAAGACACTGACTTGAGGGTTTTCAAAATCATGGAAATTATGCTTCACAAAAAATAATCCCAATGGTCATGGTCATTAGAATTTAGAACAGTATTTATATGGCTCCCTGTGGTGAATCAACAATTATTTTCTATGGCTTCAATTTTCAGAGTTTAAATAATGCACATAGCAATACCACCAAAGAAACAGTCATTAAATATCAATATAAAATAAAGTGGAAGAAAAAGAGAAAAACAGCAAGCTGCTCATTGCAGTGTTTCCAACTGAGACTCTGTCCTGCAGACTCCAGGGGATTGGCACGGATTAAGCTGTTACTAGAGGCTGGGGTTACGCACGGTAGGCTGTAGACTTTCTGGGGCAGAAACAAGTCAATTTCTATTCCGAAAACCTGGCACTGCCTAAGAAAATCCAAACCTATCAAACAGAAGCTTTGCAGGAGTGTAGTTAATAGCATCAAAGAGTGCTCCGAGACTCACCCACAGAGACTTTCTGATAGCTGATGCCAGGGACAGCAAAAAAAGAGAATGTCCAGTTGGGGGAAGTTAACCAAGCTCCTCTGAATTCTTCTTCTTGAGCCCGTTCTCTGCTCACTGGTCCCCATTTTATAACCATGCTTAAGGAGCCTAGGCTTCTCTGCCTCTCTTACAACATGCTTAATATCACTACTTTATCCATTCTGTACTGTTGCAGGCTGAAGGTGACATTACACTTAGAGGGATCCACAGATTCAAGAGGCTGCTTGGCAAGGGCAGCACAGTGAGGTACAAGGACTTTGACATCAGAGAGGCCTGGATTCAAGTCCCAATGTCTGTATGTGGTAACCAGTATGCAAGAGAGCCTGTGATGATTCCTGCCTCCTCGTATTCATGTCCTTGTTAGTTCCCTTGCACATTGAATCAGGGCTGGCTCTGGGTGACCAATAGAATGTGGAGGAAGTGATGGGGTATGAATTCCGAGGCTAGGTCACAAAAGGCATTGTATCTTCCACCTCTTAGGTCTCTCTCTCTGGGGAAGCCTGCCACCACTCTGCAAGGACTCTCGAGCAGCTCCATCTACAGATTCACATGGAGAAGAATTAAAGGCTCTTGCCAATCACCAGCACAATTTTGCCAGCCTTGTAAGTGAGCTACCTTTGAATTGGAGCCTCCAGCTCCTACTGACATCTGACTGCAACATCATGAGAGACCCTGAATTTAGACCACCCAGCTAAGCTGCTTCTGAGCTAACCCACTGAAACCATGAGAAATAATCATTATTGTTTTAAATCCTAAATTTGGGAGTGATATGTTATATAGCCATATTAACAAGAACTTAACCTTTCTAAGTGTTGGGGGCATTTAGGGCTGATATTCATCTGGGAGGCACCTGTACAGCTGTATCAATTGTTCAGTTCTTTAAATATTCCTGAGTTGCTTGGTAAAAAGCCCTGTGTTTGAATTAACCTGATCTTGAATTGCAAGCTCCCTGAGGTGCCTTGCAAAGACAAATCAAATCCTCCTCAGAGGAAGGTATCATTATCCTTGCCTTCAAATTATTTCAGCAAGCATTTTACAAATACCATGTTCAGCACACAACCAAAGATAAACTTACATATGGTTAAAAACAGAATTTTTCAGACACCCAGAAGACATCCTTCACTGAGGGCTTATGTGATAGAAAAATTAAGCATATGATGACAATGGATTCAGTGTATGGCATGCAGGAATAAATCAAAAGTTGGGAAAGGTGTAAATGGCCCTAATGAGAGAGGAAAGAGGCTCCCATTGCTTCTCAAGACTGGGACCCATCTCTACGAATCACAGAGAACAAATCTGTCTCCTTGCTGTTCTCCAGAGGGGAGCTGGACCTCAGATGGGTTAAGCAGAGAACCAGGACCCCGAGAGCCCAAACTCTCATTTTTCTGAAAATTCCCATGTCCAAGTTTGGCTGGAGAACATCCAAATTGCCTCTTCAAGATAGCTGGTGCCATGGACCTATAAAAGGGACCAACGTGTTCAGAGGACCACGAATCCTTACCTGAAGGTTCCAGACTGCATGACACCTAGAGGTTCCTAGAAAACATGACTGAGGGAAAATGCTCCTCTAACCAGAAGGATGGAGACTTAGACTAGCTAGTATCAGATTAAGGAGGAAAATGTTTTGTTTTGTTTTGTTTTGCACCAAGTATGTAAAAAAAATTAAAACCCACTGTAGAATATTAGCAAGATCTTCAACAAGTCTCTCATTATACAAATGAGGAAATTAAGAACCAGGAGGTTAGAAATTCAGTCCCAGCATGCTGACTCACAGACCACGTGTAGCCTTTTCTTACATCCCACTGCTCTGACGGATATTGTTAAACACTATTTCTTCCTTACTCTTAGGATATCAGTGCCTTGAATGTCACAGACTACCTGGCACTTGTTTCCCAACAAGCTAATATTGACCCACACAAACCGAAAGCCTCAACTTGACATTACTTGTATCATCCGTTTCTAAACCCAAATTCCAGTATCCACTGCAAACTTCTAGGTAGGCATCCAGAAAGGTCTTTCTTCTGATCCTGCCAACTCATCATGGCACATGGTTTTGAGTAGCGCCATAGAGAATATCTTATTTCTCTGAGCTTTAGTTAAGAGTGATATATGCTGGAAACAAGGAGCTTCCTGTTTCCTCTTTGTAAATTTTGATAAGTGATTCCCTAGTGGTTGGAATTTGCCAAGGACCCCCAGCCCCATTCATGGATGAGCTCTTTACCCCTGAAGATGACCAAAGAGAGCCTCAGTGCCTCTCTGCCAGTCTTGGGAGGCAAGAATGATCCATATAATATCAAAGATTTCTCCCAACCCTAAGAACTCTGGTCATATAGGGGAAGGAATGTATTAATTACTAAAAATAATTTTAAAAATGATTTGGCATAATTTCTGGGGTGCCTACTCTGTTTTACCAACGTCCCCTTCCACCTTCATCAACCACCATGAGTTTCATTATCTTCTCTGCACCTCCATGGCAACCTCTGTCATGGTCTGGAGAAGCTTAGCTTTCAATTCCAACTATCTGTCAAGACCTGAGCAAGTCCACTAACTCCTCTGAAACTCAGGCTCTTCAGTAAATGGGCCTAATGAAGAAGAAAGAGGCTTCCATTGTGTCCCAAGACTGGGACCCAGCTCTAGGAATCACTGAGAACAAATTCCTCCACTTGCTGTTCTCCAGAGGTAGCTGGACTTCAGATGGGATAACCAGAGAACCAGAATCTCCAGAGCCCAGAGTCTTATTTCTCAAAATTCCCATGTCCAAGTTTGGATGGAGAACACCCAAGTTGCCTCTTTAAGGTGGCCTGAACCATGGACCTATGAAAAGGACCAGCATGTTCAAAGGACCAGGCATCCTTTCCTAAACATAAGGCTCTCTTCCTGCATCATAGCATTGCTCTCAGGAGGGACTGTATTAGTTTGTTTTCACATTGCTATAAAGAAATACCTGAGCCTAGGTAATTTATAAAGAAAAGACATTTAATGGGTTCATGAATCCACAGGCTGTACAGGAAACATGGCTTGGGAGGCCTCAGGAAACTTACAGTCATGGTATAAGGGGAAGCACGGAGAAGGGGAAGCAGGCTTGTCTTACATGGCTGGAGCAGGAGGAAGAGAGAGTGGGAAGGTGCTAGACACTTGTAAACAACCCAGTCTTGTGAGAAGTCTATCATGAGAACAGCACTAGAAGGATGGTGCTAAACCATTAGAAAATGCCCCTATGTCCAATCACCTCCCACCAGGCCCCACCACCAACATTGGGGATTACAATTGAACATGAGATGTGGGTGGACATACAGATCCAAACCATATCAGATAGTAATGAATATGGAGGAGCAGCCCAGTATCCAGCACAAAGGCCCTCAGTAAACAGAAGACTCAGAAGCGGGGCCACTCTGTCTCAGGAGCACTGATTGGCCCACCCTTCTTTCCTTCAACCTCCTGGAGGGCAGGGTCTGTGTCTTCTTTATCTGTACCCCCAAGCCCCTAGTCCTCGTGGCTGGTAGGCACTTCACGAACTCATTACTCCAACATTAGAGGTAGAGAACCAGGTGCTGTGGATAGAGAGTGGCTAAAAATAAGATTTAGACTCTTTAGGCAGGTAATATAGAAACACAGCCAAATGTTCTTAGAGAAGAGTTGTACTTTTCAGCTTTCCTTGGCCTTTCAATATGACTGCTACTGTTTTAGCATATGTCAAAATAATTGACCAAGATGGGCAAAAAGTCACTAAGAATGAAAGCACTTCCATTAAGGAATATTTTATTTTCCATGGGGTCTTTGAGAACTTAGAGAGAAATTGAAGCAATAGTGAAATAATAGAGAGTAGACTGCTGCAATTAAATGTGATTTACCACAACTTAAGTATCACTTTCAGATAGTGTCAAATTAAAGCATTTAAGAAGATTGCTGAAAATAGGAGACTTTTTTCTTATCTAAGTGAAATGCTGGCACACGAGGCCTCCGAAGGGAAACTGCCAGATGCCGCTTTATGTGCTTGGCATGTTTGCGCCTAACATCTCCTCAGTGTTTTTGAATTTTACATTATCTGCAGAATTCCCACTTCATTAGAACTGCCTCAGAAACTCCCTTTTAAATGATGGAGGTAGCTGTCAATGTGCGTCTGTGCTGCCCCGTTCACGTTTTAGAAATGTGGGAGTTATTTTCAAAAATACATTTTTATTTAATTTTGAATTTTGTATGCCTTCAGGAAAAATATTGGGTGGTCCAGGAAGTCAGAGGGATGACTTTAAAATCAGTACATTTAATATACCTCTTTGTTCAAACTGTCAGGAGTTAACAGGTCGTAAAGTTTGACCTCATTGCAGTGATATATGGCATAAATCCCCAACATCATTTTGTTTTAGCTTTGACAATAGTCTCTTACAATTTGGGGTTTAATAGAATTTGAGTAAGAGTGGATATAGAATACCCTTTATTTCTTTCTCTTGCCTTATTGCCCTGGCCAGAACTTCCAATACTATGTTGGATAGGAGTGGTGAGAGAGAGCATCCTTGTCTTGTGCCAGTTTTCAAGGGGAATGCTTCCAGCTTTGGCCCATTTAGTAGGATATTAGCTGTCAGTTTGTCATAAATGGCTCTTATTATTTTGAGGTCATTCCTTCAGTACCTACTTTATTGAGAGTTTTTAACATGAAGGGATTTTGAATTTTATTGAAGAACTTTTCTGTGTCTATTGAGATAATAATTTGGTTTTTGTTTTTAGATATCTTTATGTGATGAATTACGTTAATTGATTTGCGTATGTTGAACCAGCCTTATATCCCAGGGATGACACCAACTTGATCGTGGTGGATAAGTTTTTTGATGTTCTGCTGTATTTGGTTTGCCAGTATTTTAGTGATAATTTCTGCATCAATGTTCATCAGGGATATTGGCCTGAAGTTTTCTTTTTTCGTTTTATTTCTGCCATGTTTTTGTATCAGGATGAATCTGGCCTCATAGAATGAGTTAGAGAGAAGTCTCTCCTTTTCAATTATTTGGAATAGTTTCAGAAGAAAGTATATCAGCTCCTCTTTGTATTTCTGGTAGAATTTAGCTGTAAATCCATCTGGTCCTGACGTTTTTTTTGGTTGGTAGGCTATTTATTACTGCCTCAATTTCAGAACTTATTTGTCTATTCAGGGATTCAGCTTCTGTTTCAGTCTTGGAAGGGTGTGGGTGTCCAGGAATTTATCCATTTCTTCTATGTTTTCTAGTTTATTTGGGTAGAGATGTTTATAGCATTCTCTGACGGTTGTTTGTATTTCTGTGGGGTCAGTGGTGATATCCCCTTTATCATTTTTTTAATTGAGTCTATTTGATTCTTTTGTCTTAGAAGAAGTAAAATTGTCTTTGTTTGCAGATGACATGATCCTATATCTAGAAAATCCCTTCATCTCAGCCCCAAAACTTCTTAAACTGATAAGCAACTTTAGCAAAATCTCAGGATACAAAATCAATGTGCAAAAGTCACAAGAATTCCTATATACCACCAAGAGGCAAGTAGAGAGCCAAATCATGAATGAACTCCCATTTGCAATTGCTACAAGAAGAATACAGCACCCAGGAATACAGCTAACAAAGGAAGTGAAGGACCTCTTCAAGGAGAACTACGAACCACTACTCAAGGAAATCAGAGAGAACACAAACAAATGCAGAAACATTCCATGCTCATGGATAGGAAGAATCAATGTTACAAAATTGGCCATACTGCCCAAAGTAATTTATAGATTAAATACTATTCCCATCAAACTACCATTGACCTTCTTCACAGAATTAGAGGAAACTATTTTAAAATTCCCATGGAACCAAAAAATATCTCATATAGCCAAGATAATCCTAAGGAAAAAGAACAGAGCTGCGAGCATCATGCTACCAGACTTCCAACTATACTACAAGGGGACAATAACCAAAATAGTAATACTGGTACAAAAACAAACATGTAGACCGATGGAACAAAATAGAGAACTCAGAAATAAGGCCACACATCTACAACCATCTGATCTTTGACAAACCTGACAAAAACAAGCAATGGGGAAAGGATTCCCTATTTAATAAGTGATGCTGGGAGAACTGGCTAGCCATATGCAGAAAATTGAAGCTGGACCCCTTCCTTATACCTTATACAAAAATTAACTCAAGAGGGATTAAAAACCTAAATCTAAACCCCAAAACTATAAAAACCCTAGAAGAAAATCTAGGTAATGCCATTCAGGGAATAGGCATGGGCAAATATTTCATGATGAAATCACCAAAAGTAATTGCCACAAAAGCAAAAATTGACAAATAGGACTTAATTAAACTAAAGAGCTTCTGCAGAGCAAAAGAAACTATCATCAGAGGATGGGCACAGTGGCTCATGTCTGTAATCCCCGCACTCTGGGAGGCCGAGGTGGGTGGATCATGAGGTCAGGAGTTTGAGACCAGCCTGGCCAATGTGGTGAAACCCCGTCTCTACTAAAGATACAAAAAATTAGCCAGGCATGGTGGGGCACACCTGTAATCCCAGCTACTTGGGAGGCTGAAGCAGGAGAATCGCTTGAACCTGGGAGGCAGAGGTTGCAGAACCGAGATTCCGCAATTGTACTCCAGCTTAGGTGACAGGGCAAGACCCCATCTCAAAAAAAAAAAAAAAGGAAACTATTATCAGAGCGAACAGGCAACCTACGGAGTGGGAGAAAATTTTTGTAATCTATTTATCTGACAAAGGTCTAATATCCAGAGTCTACAAGGAACTTAAACACATTTACAATAATAAAAAAAAAACAACCCTCCATTAAAAAGTGGGCAAAGTATATGAAAAAGACACTTCTCAAAAGAAGGCATTTATGCAACCAACAAACATGAAAAAAAGCTCAACATCACTGATCATTAGAGAAATGCAGATGAAAACCACAATGAGATATCATCTCATGCCAGTCAGAATGGTGATTATTAAAAAGTCAAGAAACAACAGATGCTGGCGAGGCTATGGAGAAATAGGAATGCTTTTACACTATTCGTGGGAATGTAAATTAGTTCAACCATTGTGGAAGACAGTGCGGTGATTCTTCAAAGATCTAGAAACAGAAATACCATTTGACCCAGCAATCCCATTACTGGGTATATAACCAAAGGAATATAAATAATTCTGTTACAAAGATACATGCACACGTATGTTCATTGCAGCACTATTCACAATAGCAAAGACATGGAATCAACCCAAATACCCATCGATGATAGACTGGATAAAGAAAATGTGGTATGTGTATACCATGGAATACTATGAAGCCATAAAAAGGAATGAAATCATGTCCTTTGCAGGGATATGGATGGAGCTGGAAGCCATTATCCTCAGCAAACTAAAGTAGGAACAGAAAAATCAAACACCATATATTCTCACTTATAAGTGGGAACTGAACAATGAGAACACATGGACACAGAGAGGGGAAGAATACACATAGGGGCCTGTCGGGGGGTGGGGTGGGAGAAGGGAGAGCATTGGGAAAAATAGCTAATGCAGCTGGGCTTAATACCTAGGTGATGTGTTGATTGGTGCAGCAAACCACCATGGCACACGTTTACCTATGTAACAAACCTGCACATCCTGCATATGTACCCCGGAACTTAAAATTTAAAAACTGTGGCTATAGATATAAATATGTAAGTATAGATGATATAAACATATTGATATGGGTGGCAAGGTAGGAAAATATTAGTTTCATTTGTAAATTTAAAAAAGCAATACACATACACAGAGAGAGGATTCAGCCTGGGGTTCAACAAATTAGTGTGGTTTATTCCAGGCTGAGTTCAAGGCTTGCTGTGGCTCAAGTGCCTAAAGTTTATTTCCCAGGAAAAATAAAGTGGAGATTTAAAAGCAGTGGTCAGAAAGGATAACTTTTTTTTTCCTTTCTTTTGAGACAGAGTCTCACTCTGTCACCCAGGCTAGAGTGCAATGGCGTAATCTCAGCTCACTGCAACCTCTGCCTCCTGGGTTCAAGCAATTCTCCTGCCTCAGCCTCCTGAGAAGCTGGGATTACAGGCGTCTGCCACCACACCCAGTTAATTTTTGTATTTGTAGTATGGGGTTCCACCATATTGACCAGGTTGGTCTTGAACTCCTGACCTCAGGTCATCCACCCACCTTGGCCTCCCAAAGTGCTGGGATTACAGGCATGAGCCACCAAGCCCGGCCAGAACATTTTTGTAATTAGCAAAAGCGAAAGTGAATTGCAGTTGATAGACTGCCTGAACAATATTTGGCAAGCTTGATAAAACTGTGGAATATGAACCCTTTATTGATGACAATTTACATCAGATCTTATATATATTTAAAATGTTGATATCTTTTATTCTATAACTTACTTTTTTTCTAAACAAGTGAAATGTTTGTTTGTATAGATGTGTGAACATGAAGTTCCTTTTGTATTGCTATAGCATCCAATTGTTTGTTTATTGGTTAAAAATGATCATGTTCAACCCCATTGAAGTGAAGGGGGCAGAAGGATGCTGACCTCAGTAACTTTGGAAATGTTTTAGTGTGCAATACTAAAGGTGAAAAGAACTGAATTTAAGCACTGTACTGTAGTTGATAATATTGTTTCCCATGGGTCAATAATTATGATACCCTTATAGATATATATTGGAATTAAATAATTGAGTAAATGAATGACAAATGTTGGGAACAAGATTTCTCTCTTTTGGGGTGAAACTCTATAGACAAGCAAGGGAATTAGAAGAACAGAATGATCCATGTGGTAAAGAATTACAGTTGGAGAAATCAGTAGGAACTCATGTCTAGCTTAATATAGATATAAATGGTTACACATAGAAATATTTATAGATATATTTTATATACAGATATGTTTCATATATTTCCTTGCTTCTTGAGGTGAAAGTACCTGAATGAAACAACACCCAGTAGCAACTAGCACACCTAGCTCCCAGATCTCAGTTTTTGATATCATTCTTCAGTAAAAGGAAACAAGGCTCCTTGGAGAAATGGCTATCGAGGACTGGTGCAGAAAATATACATGATGAAGCTGGAGCATCTTGTAGTGCTTGAAGGTAAGGAAGTGTTGTTTTTGTTGTTGTTTTAAAAAGCATTGATAGCAATATGTCAAAAGGACCACAGAAGAGCTCTCTGTGTGTGAAAGAGCTCCCAGTGACAAAACTGGAATGATTATTTAATTGATACATATTAGATATACATATTTTGGGGGTACATGTGATAATTTGATACATCCATATAATCAAATCGGGATAATCAGATACCATCACCTTAAATATTTATCTTTTCTTTACACTAGGAACACAGTTTGAACAATAAAATAAATAAAATGATGGTGGATTATAAAACAAAATATATTTGTATAAATAAATTACTGAATGACTAAATAAATAGGGAAGATGAGGCAAATATCCCATGTTGAAGAATTCCAAATAATTGATGTAGATACTGTGCTCTCAAGGAGAGGGGCATACATTTTCACTCCTAAGTGTGGGCTGCTCACAGTGACTTCCTTACAAAGACACCGTGTGGTAAAGGGACGGGGTGAAGGGTAACCCTACAGTGGAGAAATCTGACAAACACGCCTTCAGTCATCAAGGTCAGCATCAACAGTGAAAAGTCATGTTGATAGTATGTTCCCTTGATACGTGATGAAAATGGCACGTTACCTTCAGGGTCCTCCTCCTCAAAACCCGTAACCCCAGTCTAATCATGAAAAAAGTGTAGAATTCCAATAGAGGGGCATCCTACAAACTACTTAACCAATGTGCCTCAAAATTATTAATGTCATAAAAAAAAAAAAAAAGTCTGAGAAACTGTCACATCCAAGAGGAGCCTAAGGGAACATGGTGACTAAGTGTAATGTGATATTCTGGACAGGATTCTAACACCTAAATAAGACATTAGGTAAAAATGAGGAAATCTGAGTAAAGCATGGACATGAGCTAATAATAATAATGTATCAATATTGGTTCATTAATTGTAACAAATGTGCCACAGTAATTTAAGATGATATCCATGGGGGAAACTCAGTACAGACATATGGAAATTCTGTCTTCTCAACTGTTCTGAAACTCTAAAACTGTTCTTAAAAAATTAAGTCTATTGTTAAAAAGTCAAACAAAATGATACAGGCTATAAGCTGGATAAAAATTCAAGGCTATGGACATACACAGAAGAAATATTAACATTGATCTGACTTATTAATAGCAAAGGAATTTAATTTTCAGAAAAGATTTTCAGTTGACCAACTTAAACACTTCATTCTCCAAGCATGATCTACACAGTTTGAGAAATATAATAAGAGAAATTCATAAGGTTTTTTCAGCATTGCAATAATCACCTTAGGTCTTACTTGCCTGTTTAATCCTTACAATAACTCTAGGAGGAATATGCTATCTCCATTTTAAAGATGAAGAAATTGCAGTTTAGTCGATTGCCCAGGTTTGGACAGTTAGTAAACAGTAAACAAAGATTTGCACTTGGGAACTATGAATCCTGTACCCACGGTCTTAACCTCATGTTGCACACGTACCAACATTAACAGCTGAAAATATTCCCAATAACTGAGTTGACTGACTTGCTATATGCTGTTATCAGCAACATAATAGTTAGAAATTGGTGGCAGCTGTTATGAATAATGACTTTTGTTTTAGACAAGTTGATCTGTAGATTATTTTTCTGGCAGAAATTTGAAACCAGAGAACTATTGATTATTGGCTATCCTATGAGTTTGGTTTTTTTTTAAATAGAGACGGGGTCTCACTTTGTTGCCCAGGCTGGTCTTAAACCCCTGGGCTGAAGCAATGCACACACTTCAGCCTCCCAAAGTACTAGGATTACAGGTGTGAGTCACCACACCTGACTATTTTTTTAAAATCATAAAATGTGTGAAAAAATTACCATGTCAGTATAAATTCTCTTCATACCAGAATTTGGCATAGTGTAGAAACAGGTTATTATTGAACTTAGAACATCAGGGTTTTGCCTGAAAAATTATTTCTACTTATCAAGAGATGTTCTTGAATGGAGGTGAACATTATGTCCAAGGCACTGATCTTTCATAAAAATAAACTGGAGAAAAGTGCTGTTTTGAAAATAAGGACATTGACCTCACCATTAGCTACTCTTAATGTGCCGTGTGTGAAATTCTGATTAAAGTATGACAACATTTCAAAAATGTTGCTTAACCTAGTATATACTTTCAAGATACAACTTTGACTGAGGAAGACTCAGTCTAGCAAATGTCTTTTCTATAATGTGAACACCACTTTCAGACCAAGATGGTGATGGTACCATCAATATTTTGCCTTAAGAAACTTAAGAACGTAATACAGAAATTTAAATGTACTCCTTTTAAGGGAAAGCCACCAGCAATTTCTAAACTTAAAGCACGAAGATGAAAGGATAAAATAAATTGTGCCTTATATTCTGCAATTCTAGAAGAAACACGAGCTCAACTCCAGGGTTGCACACAGTCATGCCAGTGTGATCTGGGGAGGAATCCCGAGGCTCCAGCCCTGGGCTCCAAGTTTTGATCCCTCGGCATTGGGTACAGGAGGGGGATTGATGCTGCTGATGTGGGATTTCCCGGACTCTGACTTCACCAACTTATCACATATCATCATTATCTTCCAGTCTCTCCTCTCTGAGTCCTTTCCTTCAGCTGTTGCACCATTTCTACTTTGTTCAGAGGGATAATGCTGGGAAGTATAGGATGTCAAGTTCACTCTGCTTTTATTTTTTATTCCTTTTGGCAGACAGTTGGCAGCTGTGTGAAGATGGGAATGGAGGAGGCAGGGTAGGCAGTGGGTGACGCAGCCACAGCTTGGGTTCTCTGCAGCCCTGGCACAGAAGATAGGAACACCCATGGGGGATGCGGCCACCATGATGTCTTCCCACACAAGGAGTGCCAAGTGCTTTTCTCACGCTTTTCTGGATTGTTCCATGGTGGATGAGTCGGCAGGAGTGAAATGGAGCCGCAGAGTGGAGGGGTATCTGGCAAGGCCTGAGGGAGGATCCCCTGTCCCCAACATTTCAATGATATCAGGTGACAGCAGTGATTCTCTTAGCACCTGGTCTGCTTTGTCCCAGGCCAGGATATCATTGTACATATTCTCAGCTGGGTGAGCACCAATAGAGGACAGGGAGAGTCTTGTGGAAGTTCCCTCTAAGTCAGTGGCTCTTTTCATCTTCAACAAGATGTGCCACTTCTTTGTTCCAGCAAGTAGGAAGAATAGTCTGGGCCTCTTTGCACACAAGACTGTGATACGAATGCACCATCACAGGCCCCACAGAGGAGCTGTCCGTTTCCCCACACAGCTGCTAGGAGCTCTTTCCCATGTTCCCAACCTTTCCTGCCTTTATCTGATATTTGTGAGTACAATTGTAGAAAAGGGAAGTGCTTTGATAGTCAGCAAGTGTCAGCAGGTTGAGGATTCTGTAAAGGCATCTTGGAAAATCAAGGAAGGAGACACATGCTTAATTCCCAAGCTCTGTTACCCTGGCCTCCAGCAAAGCCTACCCTCGTATCAGAGAGGCCCATTGTAGATAAATATGGGCTGCCAAAAGCAAGACAAGCCTCGGGCAAACTGCCCAACAGATGGTTCAACTCTGTGTGTACCAGCCAAGGGCCAATGTGTCAGACAGTAGCTTCTGTTTGTGCCTTAAGTCAGAGTGTGAATATAAGATAATTCTGGGATGGCAGGGATCCCACATTTATGGATGTGGGATGGTTTAGTTCCAGCCAAGAGAAACTTAGGACATCCTCTTTCAGGAGTTTGAATGCATGGCTTTCTCTGCTGCCTCCTCAAAGCCTTGGCCACTGGAGCTGAGTGGTGAGAAGGGTGAAGGGCTTTAGATAGGAGGGAAGGAATGTCCTTGCATGGCTCAGAGGATGGGGACCCTAGCCAAGATCTTGGTGCTTTGGCCTGCAGGCAGCATTAGAAGCCAGCCCAGGAAGTAGGGCAGTGGCCTTGTACAGAGGGCTTGAGGTGGCTAAATTTATGTGTCAACCTGACTAGGCTAAGGGATACTCACACAGCGGGTAGAACATGATTCCTAGGTATGTCTGTGAGGCTGTCCCCTAGAGGTTGGCATTGGACTCAGTGGATTGGGTGAAGATCTGCTCTCACCCGTGTGGGTGAGCACCGTCCAATGAGGGCCCGAACAGAACAAAAAGGCGGAGGAAGGGTGAATTCGCTCCCTCTACTTCAGCTGGGACATCCATCTTCTCCTTGGACATCTGTGCCCTGGTTCTCAAGCCTTCAAATCCTGGGACTTACACCCGAACCCTGCAAGTCCCCTGGGACTTACACAGACACCCCCACCCCCCACCCCTCCAAGGCTACCCCGATTCTCACCCTGTTGGACTTGAACCAAATTACACCACTGGCTTTCCTGGTTCTCCGGCTTGCAGCCAGCAGATGGGAGTACTTCTCGGTCTCCATAACCACATGCGCCAATTCCTATAATAAATCTCCTCATAGCTATTGATCTATAACTATTTATTCTCTGGGAAACCTTTACTAATACAGGGCTCTTTTTTCCCTCAGGTTCCTTAGATCCTGGGATGAGGAGGTTGACCAGAAGGTGGGCTTGGGAAGGTAGCCTGGGGTCCAAATCCTCTTGGCTCTTCAGCTTGGCAGGTTAGTTAACATTCAGAAGCCTTCATCCCCCATCCACAAAATGGGCATGTCCAACTCAGAAGCTGCCTTGAAGAAAGGGTCTACTCAGCATGGTGCGTGGAGCCTAAGCAATCAGTACTTCAGGACTTCACCCTGCCCCTTTCCAATAACTGCTGCTGTCTCCCTCACAGGATGTCTCCCTCAGTGTCTGAAAGCTGGGTTTGATGCGTCTGGAAAAGCGTCCCTCACAGGCGTCGTTGCTGGGAGCCCCTGGTGCCGCCAGCAGCTAGCAGGGAGCATGTCCTCTGCCCGCTCACTTCTGACCCTTCTCTCGCTGCAGGGATGGGGACCTTAGGACAGAATGGCTCTAAACCCGCTCCTGTCCATGGTGTGAGCATTTCCTGATGTGAAAGCTTCAACCGCAGTCTCAACATTGAGCTCTTCCAAGGCATAAAATAATCAGTTAAAATTATTACGTGTTATAAAGATGCTGGCCCCAGAGAAGAGTGAGACCCGGAACACAGTGCAGCTGGGAGCAGCCTGGGCTGCACAGAAGGCTCAGATCTGGCGACGGCCCTTGCCGGTGACTGTGACCTGGGGTGTTTTGGAGACTCCGAGTCTCAGCTTCTCCATATATAAGATGAGAAGAACCAGCCTCAGAACAATATTCTATAGCTTCAAACTTGCCTGAGAACCAGCCTCAGGCAAGGTTGTTTGTGCATTAGTGAAATCAGATGTATTAAATAAAGTACCACATTGATCATGGAGTTGTTGAATAACCGAGAACACACCTATCTGTCTCCAAAAAATAAATGTTGAAAATGATGAGGGTGTGGCTGTACACTGGGAAGGGAAATAGGGTGCTTGGATGAGAGTCTTGAGGCATGGGACAGAGGAGGAATCCGGGATAGTTCCGTAAGAAAATGTGCTTGCACTACGGTTTCTTTGTGGAGGCTCTTGTGTGCTGGGAGGCTGGCTGGGATGGGGAGTTGGTGGCAGAGAATAGTGTCTGTTTTCTTTCTCCTAAGTGGATAATTCTGCAACAGAGGACTGGGGTCATTAGGAGCCAGTGGGCAGGTAGGGACAGGCATTGGAGTGGACTAGCACTGGTTCCCCTGAAGCTCTCTGGGGTAGAGGTGAAGGAGCTTCTAGGGCAAAGTTTGCCAGTTAAAGAGGAGCCATCGTTTGGGCTGCTCTCCGAAATGGAGAATTTTTGTGTGTGCCTGGAGTGTTTCTATTTGAGAGGTGGGAAGGTGAATTATTTACCAGTAAGTTTATCCTTCTCAGATTCTGCAGAACTTTCAGACCCATAAACAAATTAGAAATTTTCTCCTCTTGCTTAACCTAAATTTCTTTGTGGAAGCCAAAGGAAAACATGAGTAATTTTCTAATATATTCAGTTACAGAGACAGCAAAGAGAAATATTCAAGAAAAAAAAAACCCCTGAGATGCTACTGACTTCGTGTATGTCTTAGCTGTAGACAGAATTGGGATTTCCTAATATGGGTTTGTTCCAGTACAGCCCCTCAGAAAGATTTTCATCAGCAAAACACACATTGGAGGAGCAGCTGCTGTGCAGTTGTCTCCTTTAAACCATTTTCTCACTTCATTGCTAATTTTCACAGCACCTTTCTTCTAACAGTTCTACATTTTTGATCTGCAAACAACCTGGGATTATTTCTTTCCCTCTTGGTAAATAAAAGAAATTTAAAGTCGATTCTAGAGTGGGTTAGATTGGTTTATTCCGGGTCCCTTTAAAAGAAGTCTCTGTTAAAGGGTAAGCCATAAATACAATAAATGGAGAACCGCCTGGTTAACCGAGGGCTGATTCCCAGAGATGATGCAACCAGAGGGAGCTTCCTGAGCAACGTAGCTTAACTCCCTGCGAAGGTAACCACAGCTTTCTAACAATAAGTGAAATGTTTCTACTCATATCATAGGCACCCTGCAACAACACGGCCCTTTTCTCTCTGCCATGCAAAAAAGCAATCAAGAAAGTAAGAAGGGGCATTTTTGAGAACAAACTAGGAATCTTAGCATGATGCCTTCTCTCTAATTATGCTGGAAACAGGCTTTGAAAAAGAAAAAAATACTGAGGAGAAGATCATTAAATAGAATTCAACTAAAAATGGCTTTTGATATTCTGTAGCTTCAAAGCATTTGTATTGGGTATATGTTCTCATGGTTTTTGTTTGAAAGAGTTTAAGGTAAATTTTAATGTCCCATTCCTCTGAGAACTCAGAGAAAGCCAGGTTGTTTAAGAAGTAATTAAGAAGCTGGGTGCAGTGGCTCACACCTGCAATTCCAGCACTTTGGGAGGCCGAGGTGGGCCAATCAGCTAAGGTCAGGAGTTCGAGACCAGCCTGGCCAATGTGGTGAAACCAAGCCTCTACTAAAAATACAAAAATTAGCCAGGCGTGGTAGTGCATGCCTGTAATCCCAGCTACTTGGGAGGCTGAGGCAGGAGAATCGCTTGAACCTGGGAGGCAGAGGTTGCAGTGAGCTGAGATTGTGCCATTGCACTCCAGCTTGGGCGACAGAGCAAGACTCTATCTCAAAAAAAAAAAAAAAAGTAATTAAGGCCAGATTCAAGCTTACTTCTTAGGGAAAAAAAAGAGGTAATTAAGAACAAGTAGACATTTTAGATAAACTAGCTAATTAGCATTCATGGTCCCTTAAGTTTTGCTCTAATAGTCTGTTATTTTTTGCAAGTACATGATGTGCATGTGTAGATATAGTAGTTTATCATTAAGCCTCGCCTTATGATTATTAAATATGATACTTTGCTCTTTTAATACTTGCAGTTCCCATTTTTAATGTGCAACAAAGTGCACAATTTTCCTTTGGTACCTGGGAATCTGTTTAACGGAAACTCTGCTATTTTTCCCTAAGTCCCTTTTAGTCACACAAAGGTAATTCACCTGAATTTTCAGTAAATCTCATGGGAGAAAAGAATCAACTTTGGTGGTTCTCAACCTAATTTTTTTTTTACCCCAACCCAGTTTTTGTTCAGCCTCCACTGCATTTACTAAGTAGAGTAGCAGCTATGGAACTATTGCATTCTTTGTACTGAAAATATACTATTGAAAGGAGACAGAATTTGATCTGTAGAAAAAGGGAAATCATTCTTTGGGTATGGAGGCCAAAGGAATTTCAAGGGCTACAACCTGCTGCTATTAAACTGCTATGTAGAAGAGAAGAAAAAGTATTAAACAGAACCCAGAGACACTCAAATTTAGGAACCAGCACTGACCTTACCCTACAATTACTCCCCAATGAGGAGTGATGAGTGGCAAATGACAGCCCCCGGACTAGGAGAAAGAGGCAGGTTCAAAACATAGACTCCCTTATCCTGGGCAGATCACATAAAGCTTTGGTATCCTCATCTCTAAAACATTTACTTTTTTTTTTTTTTTTTTTTTGAGACAAGATCTTACTCTGTCACCCAGGCTAGAGTGCAGTGGTGAGATCTCTGTTCACTGCAACCTTCACCTCCCAGGCTCAAGCTGTTCTCCTGCCTCAGCCTCATGAGTAGCTGGGAGTACACGCACCTGCCACCATGCCTGGCTAATTTTTGGTTTTTTTTTTTAGTATAGACAGGTTTTCACCATGTTGGCCAGGCTGGTCTCAAACTCCTGACCTCTGCCCACCTCAGCCTCCCAAAGTGCTGAGATTATAGGCATGAGCCACCGTGCCTGGCCTAATACTCACTATTCTGTCTCCCTCACTTTACGGGATTGCTATGAGGTTTAGTGAGTTTGGGTATGTGACTCTAGAGGGGGCTGAGTATGTATAAGGTAAGGACCATGTTCTCTAGGACTTTTGCATCCTCCCATCACAGGTTTTGTGGAACTGTACTCCAGCTCTGTGATGGCACACGTGGAATGAAATAAATATACACAATATAGAAAAACACAAATGAATGTAAGACACATTTGCCGGTTCAGATTAATGGGAAGAGGCTTAGTTCTCATCTCCTTCCCCCAAATGACGTTACAGGGTTGCTTAGACTCAGTGGTGTGCTGGAGCGGGCTCCTACCAGCTGGAAAGAACCAGTTCAATACATCTCTTCTTAACTCCACGTTCAGAGTCGTCAAGTTGGTAACTTGAAATTGGCCATGCTGGAAGTATTTACAGCATGAAAATTGGCAGGTGCTACATATCATAGCTTTTTGTTTGTTTCAGAGAACGAATTGTTAAATATTTACTGGCAATGCACTGTTTAGATTTTTCCATTGCTTGTAAGTAATTTTGGTTTGATTTTATAGACTACGGTATCCATGAGTATTATGGTTTTAGGTGATATGGCGTGAGCTGAAAACCAAAAGAAAAGCTCCATTCATTTACTACTCACAAATGCATCTTTGCCACTTTTCACAGGCAGCATGGAGATAGACATGGTCTTAGGTCCATTCGCATTAGTCACCCAGCACAGAGACTGTGGACTGTAGTGCGTGCCTTGAGTCTGGTGAAGGCCTCCTAAAATCACAACTCTGAGAGAGATTTGAAGCTAAGAGACCTAGGTTCAGGTTCCTTCTCAGTCATTACTAACTGTGTGATCTTTGTCAAATGACCTGATTTCTGTCATTTGAGCTGATTTCTTTGGATTGTTCATTTGTAACTTAGGATAAATACCTACTTCATAGACTTGTTGGAATAAATGGGATATTGCATGTAAAACACTTAGCATGTGGCCTGGCCTATAGTGACCTCTAAATAAAAGAAGGGCAGCTGTCCATCAAATCACCATTGTCATCACCATGCTTGTCATCAGGAAGGGATCATGGGTAGTCACTATGCTTCATAACTATCCGTGAAAAGGCCTTCTAAGGTCACAGGTGACTGAACTATGGTTTACTTCATCTTTTTTTTCTTTTTTGAGACAGAGTCTCACTCTCACCTAGGCTGGAATACAGTGGCATGATCTCGGCTCACTGCAATATCTGCCTCCCAGGTTCAAGCAATTTTCCTGCCTCAGTCTCCTGAGTAGCTGGAATTATAGGCGCCCACCACCACGCCCAGCTAATTTTTGTATTTTTAGTAGAGACAGGGTTTTACTCTGTTGGCCAGGCTGGTCTTGAACTCCTGACCTCAGGTGATCCTCCCCACTTGGCCTCCCAAAGTGCTGGGATTACAGGTGTGAGCCACCACACCTGGCCTACTCCATCTTTATAAAACCCTGATAATCTTAGATTCTGTACTGGAGCCAAGAAATCTCTTTAGGCTCTCTTTTCCCATGATAAAGCCCTATAAAACAACCAGGTCAAACAACAGGCTAAGTATTAACATTTTATAGGTTTAAAAATATCATTCAATTAATTTTAAAACCATCACATCTCACTGTTGCTTGAGAAATAGGAAACAGGAACAGAAGGAAGAGACCAAAATATTACCTCATTACTAAGATGAAGGGTATAGTTTAGTGCAAGAACCACATGGGCCTGCTTAATAGGACCTCAGAATTGGACAGACTTGATCCCCTGTCTCAGGCAATGCTAACCAGGAGCTCATTCATGGAGGAGAGGCAGAGAATGTGTACTCCCAGAAGCAGCAGCTTCCAGAAAAAGGAGGAGCCAAGCAGAGCATGCCCACATCAATCTTCCAGCGTTTAATAGCTATAGAAGTTACTCAACCTCCCTTGGATGGATAGAAGCTGGCATTATCTTTCTTAAATATGATACCTCTTATCTTTTTGTTCCCTTGACACTTGAGGAGGGAAGCCAAGGGTTGATTATGCAACCAAGTTTGTGCATTTTGCAC